GCCCCCCCGCCCCCCTTTGCGGCTCTGACAAAGCTGAATGGGCATTGCGGCTGGGAAGGAGGCAGCTGCTCCTGACTCAGGATGCTGCCCTCTCTGCTTCCTGTGAGCCACAGAGAATGGGGGAGGCACTTACAAACGTGACCGCTTGCTCAGGGGCTGCTGTGGGTGTGCCAGGAGGGCGGCCACCGGTGGGAGCCTTGCTGGCCTCCTCTTCCTCTTCCTCGTCCTCGCAGGTGCTCAGGGGCATTTCTGCAGCAGCTGCTGCTGTTGTCAGACTCCCTTCACTGACTGGACCCTGAAACAAAATTGGCGCGAGGGACCTGCCACTTCGTCCTCGCCTCTGGAGGGTGTGCGTGACCGCAGGGAGAAAACGGCCAGGCCATCAGATATTGGCATGGCCACAGCGCCCCTTCCCTTGCTCATCTAAGACCTCTTAGATGGTCCCTTCCATCTCCCAGGGTCCCCTCCAGCACACCGAGCCTGCACATCTTCACTCACTGGACAGCTGCCACCTCCACAGCCCTGCTGAGTAAGTTCTAACTTCTACCGAGTCAAGACTTGGCAGAACTGGGGCCTGGTGCCTAGTTGTCTCACCTTGTGATAAGGGCTTTGCCTTTAAAGAAGTGGGGGGATGAGGGATGAGGGTCGAGAGAGGAAGGAGAAGAAGAAGAAGGAAAAGAAGGTGATGGTGATCCTTTGGTTCATCAAAATCGACCATGTAACTGCCCAGTGGTGGGCAGAGCTGTCAGCTGGTGAGGACGTAGCCTCCCCACTGTAGAGTGTCACCGGCTGATGTTAGGCCAGAGGTGCAAGGCTGGGAGCAAATGTGCGGAATGATTCCGAAGGCCGGTGCTGTGGGTGTGTGATGGCCTGACATCTCCCGCTAATAACTCACTCAGCAAATATGCATTAAGTACCCGCCATGTGCAGGGATGAAGACAGATTGATGAACAAGACGTATATAATCCCTGCCTCTTGCAGCCTGGGAGAAGCCAGAAATGAACTAGTCACCAAGTTTATTGTTCATTATAGTTATGACGAGACCTTACGAGGAGAAGTGCGGGTACCATGAACGTGTCTGTGGGGAGACTTTGCAAATCTGGGCGGGCATCTCCCAGACAAAGTGGTGCTGAAGCTGAACTCTGATGGCTAAGCAGGAACTAAGGAGGGGAGGGGGGAGGAAAGGGTTCTGGGCAGAGAGGAGATGGAATGGGAAGATTCTGAGGCAAGAAGGGGGACGTGGAAGAGCTATAAGGTCAGCAAGGCTGAGAGGCCGAGAGCTGGGAAGTGAGGGGCCCAAGACCTTGTCTGTGAGGCTGGCCAGGGCAGACCCTGCTAGCCTTGTAGGCCAGGTGGGGTGGCAGTGTCTGCAGGACGGCTGCCCCCACCAGGAGGAATCAGAGAGGCTGATGGGGTTGGCCAGGCTGGAGCCTCAGCCAATTCCTGGGCAGGGGCTGGGGGGCTCAGTCCAGGGCAAGGTCCTGGCACTGGAGAAGGGTTAAAGGGGTGGGGTCCACCATGTGTTGAGGTAAAAAAATCAATAAGACTTTGTGGTTGATGGGATGTGGGAGGGAAGAAAGAGGGAAGAGGATCTGGATTAGGATTGGATATGATGTTCCCATTCATTTGAGCTGGGAACGCAGGAGGAGCAGAAATGAGTTCGGGTTTAAGTCTGCTGAGCTTGAAGAACTTGTAGGATACTCATTCTAGGGACATTACAGGAACAGGCTTGCCAAGTGTCATGATGTTAGGAGCTGGGAACAGAGTCCCCATGACCCCCAAGGAGAAGGCTGAGAAGTCCTGGCTGGGGTCTTAGACCCTGTGGGGCCTGCTTGCACCCCAACTCTCCACCACCCTCTGACAGCCTGTATGCATGCTCAGATACAGGCCATGGCTGAGCCCTCTCACCTCTCCTACTCAGGGCCCAGCACAACTCCTGCCTGGACCTGACCCCTGCTGGTGGAGGCGGTGACCCTGTACCAGCCCTGGGACTCACCCCCATGTCCCTGACTCACCCCCCTAGCTGGCTCTCCAAGGACCTGCAGGGGCTTCACTACACACCCCTCAGGAGGGAGTATCTGGTCAGGAAGGTGCCCCCAACCCATTCGGGCTCCTCTGGATTTGCTGCACAGAATGAAGACTGGCCCTTCGAGAGGGCAACGTCTACTCCCAGCCATGACTTCAACTTTTCAGCACCTTACCAGACTGACCCCTTCCTCAGGCTCCTGCGTGGACATGAAGAAGGCCGGTTCCCCGGTGGGCACTGTGCTGGCCTCTGCTTCCCTGTCAGTGCTGGTGGGCATCTCAGCCTCCTCCATTGATATCACTGCTGAGCCTTCTTCAGCGTCTGGACTCTGAACAGAAGACATCACGGGGACCAGCTCAGTGATCCACAGCCCTATGGCTGGAGGGAGCAGGCAGCCAGGACCCCTCCTGCACCTGTGTCCTGTTGCTTCAAAGCACTTGCACATCCCAGACCTCGCCTTATACCACTGCTCTGACTGGGGCACCCACACAGAAACCTTGACCTGCACACCACCCAAGGTGTGAGCACCCTGTCCAGTATGGTGCCTGTGTGTTCATCCCGCTCCTTCCTGCCAACCTCAATGGCTGGCACTCATCAGCTGCCATCTACCTTCCACTACTCCGGAGAGTGAAGCTTCCACTGAGGGCCCAAATCATGGAGCTGGGACAAAACCCAGTCCCGGATGCACAGCTTTCTAGGGGGAGGGGCTATGTGGCCTCCCTGACCACTTGCTCTCCTCACTCTCCTAGCCCAGTGCCCTCTGCCTTCCATCCCTCATGGCCCTCCCCAAGGTCACCAATAGTCCCTCTGACAGACCCAGCTCATGCCCTGCTCTCCCATCCTTTACTCAGTGGGAATCCTGGCAGGATCTCACATTGTTAACCAAACCCAGAGCGAGCCAACACCACCCTCTCCTGGAAGGAGACACAGCCAGCGAACCACACTCTACCTCCAGGCTTGCTTCCCCCATCCTTTCTCCATTCAGGGTCAGGCGAACTTTCTAAAACCTACTCTGACTACATCACCTCCTTCTTTACTACCCTCAGCAACTTCCCATTTCTGCTGAACACGCCCAGGCTCATTCTCATGGCTTCCTCAGACGCAGAGGCCCCGTCAGCCACGTTTCCCTGCCTTTCCTCGCTCACACCTGGCCCTCGGGTCTTGATGCCTCCAGGTCAGTGGTTCTCAACCTTGGCTGCACATTAGAATCACGTGGGAATCTTTTTAAAATCCTGATTTCTGGGCCTCACCCTCCGGAAATTCTGTTTCTTTGTACTAATGTTGTGGCCCCACCCCATAACAAGAACAGAATTTCCGGAGGATGAGGCCCAGAAATCAGGATTTTAAAATGATTCCCAGGTGGTTCTAATGTGCAGCCAAGGTTGAGAACCACTGCTCCAGGCCTTTGCTCCTCCTGGGTCACCTCCCGGAACACCTGCCCCACTCCTATCTGCTAGGCCACTTCTAAGCATCCCCTTGGTCTCACTTTCAGCATCCTCTCCCCAGGAAGGCTTGGAGTCTGGGCTCTGGCCCCTTTGAGGTGCTGCCAGAGCCCCGTGTGCTTCTCCTATTGCACCTCTTACCCTCTGTCCCTATGAAGCAGTCTGCCCTATTGACCTGGTGCCCAGCACCGCGCAGCACCCACCATCTGCTGAATGAGTCAACAGATGACTCAGCCTCCAAATCACTCAAACTTGGTCCCACAGGCTGTAATCCACATTCTGACAGCGACTGCTTCCACTGAGATGCCCACCATCCCCCCAGAAAGAGGTGAAGTGGAGCATGCACTCCAAGATACTAACTGGGAGTGTCCCCTTTCCCAGGGTCCTGGGTGGACATGGAGAGGGCCGGGCCCCCGGTGGGCACACTGCCCCCCTCGGCTTCCCCTGCAGTGCTGACGGCCACTTCGGTGTCCCAGGCAGTGCTGATGGTCACATCGGCTTCTCTGGCTGCTGCTGTCGTTGCCAAGTCTTCTTCAGTGTGTGGACTCTGAAACAAAGACATCACAAGGGACCACGTCAGTGGGCCCACAGCTCTGATCAGCGTGCCTGTGGCTGGAGAGAACAGAATGTCCGTACCTCTCTCTCAACCTGCATTTCTGTAGCCTCTTTCCCTCTGAGAACTTCCTTATCTGGACCTCACCCCAGCCCTATGATAGTCCCAGAAGCACAGCATCCCAGAAGAGACTGCACAGCACCTGTCTGCACACACCAGTGGCTGGGAGACCACTGCCTCCTGAGCCAGCCTGCTCCCGCTCCGACACCTCTATCTGGACGCATCTGCCTCCCTGCAACCTTCCCACGTGTCCATCCAGAAGCCACAGGAACAAGAGGACAGTCTTTGCCCATGACAGTGCCTCACGACCTGCAGGCAGCAATTCCGTCATCTTCTCAGCCTCGACACCTGCTTCCTCTCTTTCTCTGTGACTTACTTTCCTTCGGATGCACACCCTTCCCTGAAGGTTACACAGCAGATGCAGGAAATGGAAGGAGCAGCTTTGACTGCTGGTGCTACCAAACTGACTATGTTTGACCTCAGTTTCCCAAGATGGTTGTTGTTTTTTAATTGGGGATTGTTTTGTTTTGTTTGCAAAAGTGTAGTTCTTTTGGATACTGAAAGCCTATCAAGGTTAGATAGATTTCCTTGTTGCAGGATTTCTCAGAGCCTGTAAGGAAGAAATAAGTGGAGCATTTCCTAAACTTATTTGACAGCAGAACCTTTTTTTCGTATAACATATCATGTCCTTACAGAATTATTGTCCAAAACACACACACACACACACACACACACACACACACACACACACAGGAGAGAAGATGAAGTTACAGATTTTACTAGTAAAATGAGACTCTTTCTGACACAACTTCAGCTAAAGTCCCAAAGGGCTTTATAATTAAGTACAACTGACTAATTAATTGTACAAGTTAAGTACAATTCCACAGTCATCGTGTGCCTTCCACATGCTAAAAGAAGGAACCAGGCCACTTATGTGGGATGCGCTGAGAGACCATGAAGTGAAATCAGTTCCACCGGCATTAGCCTCTCCCCCTGCCTCCGGGCTATATAAGAAAATGAAAGTACCCCATATTGGGAGAGTGAGAATTCCTTTGGAGAGAATTTGAAATCGTTTCCCCCCTCCCTTCTGCTCACTACAAACCGTTTGGTGAGCTGGATACGTAGTCCATGGGATTTGGGAGACAAAGGGACTGCATTTTTTTTATACTACACTGAACTGGGCTTTGGAAATAGGCTGTTATCAGCCGTGACTCGGAGAGTATAAGCATTTTCATCCCAGGACAGCGAAAAGGATGAGCTGACCCTGTGGGCCATTGCGAGAAAAATACTTTGCTTAACTTTGGTATCCAACTGTATCCAGCATCTTAAAAATTGGCTTTGCAGGTCTAAAAGCCAATTACCCAACCACAGAGTGGACTCTCATGTAGCTAATCTGATTCTGGCTCAAAGAACGAAAAAGGTTGTGCATCTTCCCAATTGGGTGGGAGGGAGGCAGGTGCCAGGGTGAGGACCCAGCACTCATTGCCCGGCAGGTGTGAGGACCAGCTGCATCTCGCCCTGGTGCATCCCTGGAGAGCTTCTGGAGCCCTGGGCCTCCTGCTGCCCCTGTCCCAGCAGGAGGGAGGCAGTCTCCCCCATATTCAACTAAAACCCTCGTGGCCCCCTGGAGTGCCCAATACAAGTCACCATCAAGTCTAAAACAAGCAAACATATTTACCACTGACATAGCAAATGAAATTTACTATTCACTCACCTCTTCAGTGACATGAAGGAAGGCCCCATCCCCGGAGCCAGGGTCTGTAACGGGGACCCCGTTCATAGCATCGACCTCCTCCAGAGTGTCATTCAGGATGTCACCAGACCCTGGGGAAGCAGGCGTTCTGTAATTAATAACTGCACTTTGTGGTCTTGAAAAAGAAGAGCTCCCTCTTCACCGACTGACTTGAAAAGATGCCCAGGATACAGGATTAATAGAAAATAAGAAAAAAATCCAAGGCAGTATTACATGTGCCGAGGCCTGCGATCGGCCTGCATTTTCTGCCCTTTTTTCAGAGGGGTAACCATTTCAAACCAAAGTTACAGCCAACGTTGGAGCACTGAGCTTTAGGTACAAGGTCAAAAATCAGCTCACACGCCCACAGTAGGGGCTGGCTGAGCAAACAGAAAGCAGCATTACTGGTACATGTGGTTTCTACCACAGTTTCTGCCACAACTGCAGGGCTGGAACCCAGCTTTGGCAAGTCGTTAGCCTGTGCCTCAGGTTCCTCATCTGTAAACTGGGGATAATTCCCATCTCATTATGTGCTACAAGGATTAAAGACATTAATACAAGGAAAGCATCAAGGACAGCACCTGGCATAGAGTTAGCAATGGATAAATGTTCCTTCATTGTCGGTGTGGTTCTATATTTGTAAAGGGAAAACAATTACATATGAGTATTCATGTTTTATCAACATCATATAATTAATATAGTCACTATAGAATACATATAATATATGGATATATATGGATATGTGTGTGTATAGATAAACAACACACACTTGGCTAAACCTCAATATTTAATATCGGTTTCCTCCTGAAGAAACTACTATTTTTTTGGTGCATGCAACTCTTCATTGATTCAACTGTTACCACAAGTACATATTTCTTTTGCAATTTAAAAAACACATGGAGTCCTAAAGCAAAGAAAAAGAAATTATATAACATGAATACATGTGTGTTACATACAGGCTGGACCCGGGGCTAAGCATGTCTCATGCCTTTCCTCACTTAATCTTCCCACTAGCCTATCTCAACTACCTATAAGGACCTTCCCACCACTTCGAAGCTGGTGGGCAGAGTCAGGACAGAACCCCACATTCTCAGTCTCCCCACTATCAATGCACTCCGTGTGTGTCCTGCTCTGACCCACATGTTAGCACCTTATTTATTAACCCCATCTGCAGAGGAGAAACAGGCCCCACAGAGAGGGAGTGGCTGGAAGAAGCCCGTGAAGCCAGGTCGATCTGTCCCATGCCCAGACATTTCCACACATGCTGTGTGCATGCATGCTCCATAGTATGAACAGTGTGTATGTGTGTGGAGGGGAGGGGGCAGATAGGTGCTGCATTATTCAAGGCATCCTTTGCACACACACATCCTGTAACTCTCATGCATCCTTCCAGCTGCTACCACCAGGGGGGACTGTGCAAGCAGCTAGCCAGACCCCAGGCCTCAGAGTCCCCACCTCTTGGAGGATGGAGGTGAGGGTAGTGTGTGCCCTGGGGCAAGATGGTGTCAGGGAAACTTGAATAAAACTATTGGGTGGCTTCCCCTAGCCTGGGACCGGGCTCTCTGGGTTCAGGCCCATTTCCTTCACCATCTGAACATTCTACCCAACAAGAACAGGAACATTTCAGCCAGTCCCGTTGCTTTTGTTTGGCCTTTTTTGTTTGCCAGAGAAGGCGTCTGGCTGATCACAGGGAACAGGCAAGTTGTGCTTGGATCTGGGTCCCTGTCTGGATTTGAATCCCACCTCCTTTGAACCCACCCCTCAGTCTAGGACAGGCCCTCACCCCAGGGCCCCACAGCCTCTGCCCCCTCCTTGCCTGTCCTCAGAAATCCCAACTCCACCCAGGAGAACAGCATTGCAAGGACCCTGCACCACTTCCACCTCCTCTCATCATGGAGGACTGTGGACAGACAGTGAAGGAATCTGAAGCTTGGGAAAGTTAAGCAACTTGCCCAGGCCCGGCAGCCAATAGGTGGCTGAGAGGGATCTCGTCCAAACTGTCTGCTCCCGGCCAGCCCCACAGTCTTTCCACAGCAACACCCTGACTCCTTGGCTGTGTTATGACTTTATTAAACTATCAGACAGTTTTTTCTGTTCAGAACCGCATACCTTCTCTCACCCACAGACTTCCCAAGTTTAGTTATTAAAATAACATTCACTTACTGATGGCAGAAGTAGAAAGAATAGTGATATGTAAGATTGTAAAAGACATGTAAACTACTGAACTACAAACAAAAAAATTAAAACCACCCACAATCCTACCACCCAGAAAATATTACTCATAGCATTTTGTTGTATATCATTCTCGCACACACACATGTACGTACACACACATGGTTTTCTATGGGTAGATGTAAATATAAATAACATATTCAAAGTTAGGGTCACAGCACACATAACAGTTTTGAAAGGTGCTTTTCAGTGGAGCATGTCCCTGGGCCATTCAATCTTCTGCATCACCAAGTTCAGGGCTGCACATATGAATGAAATATAATTTGCTCAGCCAGTCCCTACTGTGGGCATCTGGGTTGTTTTTAGGCCTTGTACCTAAATCTCGGTGCCCTGGCGTTGGCTCTCACTTTGGTCCGAAACAGTTATCCCTCTGAGAAAGGGCAGAACACGCTGGCCGATCTCGGGCCTTGAGCACACACACGACTAGCTGCTGCCTGGGGATCGTGTCAGAAGTTGGGTTTTTGCCAGTGCTCCTCGGTATCGCTGGGTAGGGACCGGAGTCCTGGATGGGGAGCCAAGAGGCCAGACTGCCCCAGGGCCTGCGGCTGACCTGCGGGGCCTGCCCCTCTCTGGTCATCAGTTGGTTTTCCCACATGTGCCACACAGGAGTTTAGAGGGCCTGACCCTCTGAGAATCAGGGACTCTGTGGCCAAGGCTGGGAGGGGTGGGGATTCTGGAGTGAGGCCTGGGCACCGGCTCTGTCCCACCGCTCATGAGCTGTGTGACTGTGGGCACGTCACTTACCTTTCCAAGCACTGGTTTTTCCATCTGTAAAATACTAGCTAATCACAGCAACTCGGAGATGTGTGGTTGGGCTTGGAGATGACGTATGTAAACACTTGGCCCACAGTAGGTACTTAATAAGCAGCAACAATTGTTACAAGCTTTTCTGTTAAACCCCAGATCCTTCTGGAGGGGTCGTCTGGGGACTGAACGTTCAGCTATCCAAAAAGAAAAGCCACCTCTGCCATTTACAAGCCAAAGAGCCTCAGCCGGGTGACTTGATTTCCCCACCTTGTTTGTCAAAGGCAGAAGGTTGGATGAGGTGCTCTATGTTCCATACGTCACCCAGGCTGACGCACAGTCATCACTCAATAGAAAACCACCATATGCGAAAGGCACACCCAGGACTTGCCTTGCTCAGCGCTGCTGTTCAGGATGGCACTCAGGTTGGTGGTTTCCAGGGTCCCCTCAGGTATGGGCTCCCCAGAAAGTTCTGAATCCTCAGAGGGAAAGGTTGGAGTTGGAGGTGTGTTAATGGGTTCAACTTTTGCTTCTTTAGGCTGAAGGAAGAAGAAAAGAAAAAAAGGGACCCAAAAACATTTACTTGGCAGGAAAGCAGGGGGAAAGGGCAGTGAATAATATCACTGGAGAAAATAATATATCCACAAAGTTCTGAGTAAACCCAGAAGAAAGCTTAGACCTGCCTATTGTGTACCTGGCCAACCTGCCAGGCCCTGAAAGAAGTGCATGTAGGAGTCATTTAATTCTGTTCGGTTTACAGCAAGACTCTGCCAGACTTGGCTGAAGCTCCCTGAGCACAGAGACCACATTTCTATATCCCAGGCTGGGAGAGAGGAGGGAGGTGGTCAAAAAAGATCTATTAGATCAGGGAATGAATGAGTAAATGAACACACAAATGAATGAAGTAGGCTGCATTCAGTGAACGCTGTCTAAATCCAATCCCAGATGTGCGCTGGCCATGGATGCCTCTGAAAATAAGAGATGGGTGTGGCTCCCTTTCTTGGACACTTCAGCTTCTGTGTAGCTTTTCCAAAGCCAGTTAATTCCTCCACCAACTAGGGAAAAAAGAAACAAACAAAAAACCCCAACAGTGGGAAACACAGAGCAGTTCAGAGATCTAGGCAGAAATCTTGATTGGCAGGGGTGGGGGCTCAGCAAAGGTCATGACATCATCCCCAGACCCAGGCTCTGGAGAGACAGGGCTTGCCAGTGTTCAAACAGTCTCATCTCTTTCTGAGCTCAAGGGGCTGGGGGATGAAAGGAAGGATCCGGCTGACCATTGTTGGGCCTGTGATGTGAACCAGAAACCATTAAGGCACTAAGACTTCCGGATTAATTTTGACTGCAGCCATCACTTACCTATCCTGACTAATAACAGAAAATTATTTCCTTAATGTCAGAATCTAGTGTATAAACAATGAACCTATGGTCCATCAGAACAAGGAGGGTTCTTATGGATCTAATGGTTCTTAGAATCTAATGGTTCAGTTCTGACAATCAATCTTGGGTCAAATCTCAGCTCTCTACTTATTTGCTTTGTTATATCGGGCACGTCATATAACCTCACTGGGCCTCATTTCCTCCTCTGTGAAATGGGGCCAATGATAACTACTTACAGGGTATAAGTGCATGGAGGTGCGCAGGACAGGGCCGTAGTATGAGCCCATCAATGTATCAATATCACTAGAATCCTAAAGTTTGAGAAAGAACAACACCTCGATAGTGATTAAAGAGGTTTGTTTTATCTTTTTAGTTATCTGCAGTTGTGGGTTTTTAAAATAATGAATATGAAATATTGGTGTGCTAAAAAAATAATATCATTTGTTGTATTGTAAAATCTCCAGAACAATAAACGAGGTTAGGCTAGAGGTCTTCAAGGAGTTGGGCCTTGAAGAATGAAAAGAGCTTCCAAAACCAAGGACGGAAGAAGGCGTTGGGACGACAAAGGACACAGCATTGTCTGGGTCTGACAACCTGTGCTTGGTGAGGATTCCAGGACAGAAGCAGGGGACAGAGCCAGGAGGCGGAGAGAGGGAGGGGGCTGGATCTTTGGTGAGAAGTCTTGCCTGGGCCTGGGCCCTCTGTGGGGTGTTAGGCTGGGGAGTGGCATGGGCAGGTGTGTACTTTTGAGAGTTCACCCTAGTGCCAATGAGAGCACGGGTTTGGGGAGTTGAGGTTAGGCCAGGAGACCAGGAGGCTGCACTGAAGAAGCCCAGTGAGGCAGGAACCAGGGGGGCGTTGTGGGGGCAGAGAGCAGGGACCACCCCAGGCTGTGAAGGCCTTTAGGACTTCCCCATTCCTCCCAGCTGCTTGGTGACCCAGCAGGGGAGTAAGGACCCTGTCATAGGCAGTTCCTCTCCTCTTCCTGCCGCATCCCCTGACGGTCTCTGGAAATCCCGTCTCCAGCCTGGAGCAAGGCCGGTGGCTGCAAGTGAAGCCTCTTTACCAGGGACTTGGGCTTTGAGACGAGGCAGGTAGGGCAGGTGATGACGCAGGGAACGCAGGACAATAAACAAGGTGAGGGTGGGCTGAGCTCTGTAACTCCAGGTGGCAAAGGCTGAGTTATATGAAATCACCGACTCCAGTCTGTCAACCATAAACCTCTTTTGGAATCTCCTAAAAAGGGGGCCACAAATCCCCGCTCAGGGCAGAGCGTGAATGTGGGGAGCTGACCCTTGGCGGTTGGTTTTCAGGGGTGAGTGTGGATGGAGACCAGTGTGGTCGGTGACAATATAGGAATGTCAAGTTTTAAGACTTTTTTTATTAAAAGTGTGGTAATTTGCTGAGCCCACACTCATATTCAACATGTATTTCCTGAGGCCTTACCATGTGCCAGGTCCTTGGTTAATCCCTGGGGAAATGGAAATAAATAACTAAGATAGGGTGGCTGTCCTCAAACTGTTGAGCTATGGGGACACACAGACTCAGACCCAGACACAACAAACTGCGATTCAATGTGACACATGGGACAGCAGAAGTGAGAGCCAAGTGCGGGGAGGGAAGTTGGCCATGGCCTCCAGCGAGGGGCTGCGTGCGGACGGGTCCTGAAGGACAAGTAGGAACTGGCCAGGCACAGAGGGGGCGGAAAGGGCTCTCTTTGCAGACAGAACCCAGGAGTGAAGGCGTGGATGAGGGGAATGTGTTGGGTGTGTTTGGAGAAGTGTGAGAATTTGGGTGTGGCTGGAAGAGAGATCTTGGCTGTGGGTCAGAATCACCTGCAAAGCTTTTGGTAAGTACAGCTTCTTGGACCGCACTTCAGACCTTCTGGGTTTGACTATCAGCCTAGGCAAGAGTTTTTTTTAAAGACCTCCCCATCTCACTGTCTTCCCCCCTCCGCCTCCGAACACATACACAACTTTGATGCACAGCCAGGGCTGAGAACTACAGGAATATTAATTCTAACTCGGCATAAGATAGAACTTTCCAGAAATGGAAAGGTGTGTCAGCAGAAGCTGACTTAGCAGGGGGAAGAATGGGGTAGCAGGGACTCCTGCCTTAAATGGGGAAGGAGGTGAGGAGAGGCTGGCTCTTTAAGGCCATGATTCAGTTCTCAGGTCATGGCTTCTGTCTTGAAGGGTGGCAGTTGGAAAGGGTGAAGACAGGGAAGTAATATTCATTCCCAGAGAGAAGCCAGACAGGGAGGGAGGGGAACATCTGAGAGCGAGAGGGAAATTCCCCCAACTTGGAGGGGGGCAGCCCTGGAGCTCCTCCAGGAGATGGTGAAAGGGGAAGTCCCAGCTCAGGGTGACATGACCGAGGGCGCTCTGGTCCCTCCCCGGGGACTCGCCCTGCCACCTCCCCCCTGGGCAGTCTCCGACAAAATGCTACACTCATCTCCGCCTCAGTGCATCCTCTGGTGGATGAATGGAAAAACCCGGCCCTGCAAAGGAGGCTGGAGGGAGGGAGTGCCCTGCGGAGCGCAGGAGGTTCTGATACCCAGGATAGGCATCTGAGCCTCAGGACCGCAGCTCCAGGACCTCCAGGCCCAGAGCCACAATTCTTCAGGACTAAGGGCAGCCACAAGGGTTTGGCATGGGGCGGGGGGTCCCAAGAGAAACGGGCCCTCTAACACATCACCTCGACCCTCACAAATAGAGTTGAACTCACACTTGGTGGGACTCCGATCTATACTGGTTCCCTTAAAACCACTGAGGAGAGCAGGTTGGGGAATCTGGGAAGGAAAGTGTTTGGGGTGCCCCAGAGGCCACCGAGCCCATCAAATGCCTTTTCCACCTCTCCGGACACTTTGGGGATTTATTCCGTTCTCATTCCCCGCTGCAGTGCACACCCACATCTGCCCTTCACTGCATACCCTGGCCCAGGACAGGAGGCCCAGCTAGGGCCTGACTCCACCACCTTGGGGAATCTGGGAAGGAAAGTGTTTGGGGTGCCCCAGAGACCACCGAGCCCATCAAATGCCTTTTCCACCTCTCCAGACACTTTGGGGATTTATTCCGTTCTCATTCCCCGCTGCGACAGGAGGCCCAGCTAGGGCCTGACTCCACCACCCTGTGACCCTGGCAAAGCCACCCCGTCCTTCTGAGCATCCATCCCCCTTGCAGGGTTGTTGCAGGATTAAATTAAGTCATATATACAAAGCACCAGCCACACATCGGGTGTTGAGAAATGCTGGTCCTCTTCCTTCCCCTACCCTTTCTCTACTTCTGTCCAAAGCTGCCCATCTCCAATGCCCCCTCCATTAGAAAAATCTCCCTGACCAGCCCCTCCCCCTGATCATCTCATGCTCTCAAAGCCTGCTCCCCTCTCCCAGGGCCACCTTGGTTACTGGCATCTTTGCCTGAGTTGGCCTCACTCCTAACTGTGAACTGGTGCACTTGGCGGGGGGGGGGGGGGGGGGCAGCATCAGGCTAGAAGGCTCAAGAGACCACCATTCTGTTCCCTGGACATACTGATGGAGTGGCCAAGGGCTGATGGGCACACAGGATTGCAACACTGCTCAGAGCCGGGGTGGCCACTTTGGACCCTTGACTTCCTGCATCAAAGCTGCGCAAGAACTGGCAACATCACCCAGGCCAGCAGCTCAAAGGCATGGTTTGAACCCTGGCTGAGACATAGGGAACCTGTGCTCTAGCCTCAGCTCTGCCCATGCACCTGAGAGCCAGTTTTCTGCCCCTTGCTGGGCCTCAGCTTGCCCGTCTGTAGAAAGGGCACCTTTAAGAGGTGACCGTTAAGTCCCTCCAGCACTAACAGACTATGGTCCCGTCCTTCCCCACCCACACCTCTGTCGCCAGAGGTTTATAATGTATAGCCTCTGCCTTCTTTCCATCTCTCCGCTCTTCGATCTGAGATGAGTTTGTAGAGTGAGCCAGACCAGTTGAGACTGCTGGGCTTCTGTGTTCAGTGACTCAGACACTGCTGGCTGTTTTCATTAAAGCGGGCTCCTCGGTGTCTCCACAGTCTGACTCAGTGCTTTCGACACCACTTCCTTGTCTGGGACACGGGGCGCGTTCCCAGGAGGGTGGAGGCCTGGCCTCTGGGAGGATGGCTGACTTTCTCATGGGGTCAGAAGTTAGCTCCTGGGAGGACGCAGCAACTTGCAGGAGTGGGGGCCCTGACTCCCTTCTCATAGCCAGAGTCCCGAGTGAGCAGATGTTACCATAGCCGCCATTCAGGGACACATCCTTCACGCCGTGCATGGGTCTGAGACCTGGCCTTGCACTATCTCATCTAACCCTCTCAACAACCCCACCAGATAGGCTTGTTTTATGGACGAGGAGCTGAGGCTCAGAGAGGCTGAGCAAGCTCCCCAAGGTCACAGAGCTGGGAGGCAGCAGAGAACAACGTTTGCCTCTGGACGGCCTTCTCATGCCGCAGCACAGGGAGCACTCAGGTCACTGGTGTTCCCATGCACTGGGGTTTTGCAAAATGCCCTGTTGGCCAGTACCCTCCTGCTCTCCCCAGATGAGCTGACGATGGAAGTCACCGATCTGAGGACAAAGATGTCAGACCTAGGCACGCTCCAGGAACTCTCAGGCCCCTAACAGCTGACCCAGATGACCTGGTGGCACCCCAGAACTCACCGGGGCTTGAGTGTAGGTGTCGGCTTCTAAGATCTCAGCGACTCCATCTGTGACTCCGTCTGTCTCCTGAAGCCCGCTGGCCTCTCCTGATGCCTGTGTGGAGGCAAATGACACCAGGTAGAGGGCGCAGTTTACAACTGGAAAGTCAGGGAAACTGCCTCAGGTGGAGGACCGTGCGCGTACACGTGTGTGTGTGTGTGTGTGTGTGTGTGTGTGTTTGTGTGTGTGTGTCCGAGAGGGACAGACAGACAGACACAGGGAGAGTGAAATTGAGGAGAGCATGTGCATGGTACACATGCTTGGTTATTCTTTTTGTTTCCTTCCACATTTTATTGCTCAAACAAAAAACCCCACAACAATCAATTTACAGCCTCTCTTTCATACCTACTTGCATTTTGTCCAGGTTCCCTTCAATCTCCCTCAAAAGGCACCCACAATCTCTGCACAGCTCCTCACGGGAGTTTTACACTGGGAGCAGTTACATTGGCAGTATGCCTTCCTGTTGCCACCTCACCTTCATAATTA